TGTCAGAATTCTGTCCGTTTGGACAGGGGGATGGGATCGTGTCCGGGTCTGTCCTGAGATGCGGTGGCCGTGCGTCCAGCGCGCGGCCGCATCCTTTACCCCATTCTGTCCGCGTCCATTTTAAATAAAAAGAGAAATGTTTCAAATGCCAAGCCCCTACGGCCCTAGTTCAGCACGCACGCCAGCAACAAAGCCAGCGGCCGGCAACACAGCCAGCCTCCAAAATGAATGTTTTTCTCGCCGGCACACGGCCAGCGGCCCAGCGGGCGGCGGCACCCATGCCAGCCTCCAAAAAAGAACGGCCACGGCCGATCGGACGACCTAGTTCAGGCCGTCGGCGTCGAGCATCTCCTTCTGCCTGGCCTCGAACCAGGCCCTCGTCTTCTCGCTCATCTTCGACAAGTCCACGCTCATGATCGCGAGGGCCACCTCCTTCGCTTTGGTGGCGGCATTGGTGGCCTCGATGTCGAGCTGCCTTTGCCTGGCCTTGACGTTCTCGGCCTCGATGTCGAGCTGCCTTTGCCGGGCCGCCTCCTCCATGTCGAGCTGCCTCTGCCGGGCTGCCTCCTCCATCTCAAGCTTCCTTCTCTTGGCCGCCTCCTCCATCTCAAGCTTCTTCGTTTGAAGCTCTAGGTATTGCTTCATTTGCTCGTCTTTGCTTTGCCGCTTCTTCTCGTCCCTCACATCCTTTTGCGACATCATGCCATGCAAAGTGTCATGCAATGCCATGGATGAGGCATCACGAATGTCATCAACCTTGGAGTTGGTCTTGCCCTCGGCCTCTTCAACGCCTCGCCATCTACACCTCCGGCGAACTTGGCCGTCTTCAGGCCTCTCTTCCTTTGGAGTTTACGGTATTGATCCTTGAACTTAGGGTAATTGTTGATCATAGTCCAACAATGTGTAAGAGTGAACGGCTTGTCATTGTGCCGGGCCTTGAATGCCTCCAAAGATTAAAATGCCTACACCGTATGAACAACAAGTGACCATGCAAACATGTACAAGGCCGAAGTGTCATGGCTGTAGCAAGGAAAGGGCAAAAGAAGGAGAGCATACCATGTCTCCAACGCCGGTACCACTCACGGGCCGTGCTTGAAAGCTCTCAAATGCGGTTTGATACTTGTTGCACTCTTGTTGGATGAACAACCATCTCTTTTGAATCGAGCCGCCGCCGCGGTTGCTTTCAAATTGGTAGGGCTCAAACAACTTCCTTTCATGGAATATTTTGTGGACTCTCGTCCAAAAAACAATACCCTTTTGTTGCGCGCCGGTCCTTGGATCTTGGCTAATCTCCATCCAAGCTTGGCAAATCAACTTGTCCTCATCTTGTGTGTTTGAACCCGTACGAATGCTCTTCCTCTTCTTTTGTGCTTCCGCTCTTTGTGTCAACTCGTCGATGAACAATGGCTCGCCACTAATGTCAACGTCATTGCTTTCTTCTTCATCACCATCACCTTCGACATAGATGTCATCGTCTTCATGCCACGAGTCACCATGGTCGTAGTCAGCACGGTCATCGGCCTCTTCATCGGCAGTGAACTGGCCGCGGCCATCCTGACTTTGGGTCTCCTCGGGGTCGAAGGTAGGGGCATGGCCACCCTCGTAGATCACTTCCTCCATGAACTGGTCGTAGTAGGGGTCGTCGACCGGTGCCGTTGGGGTTGGCATTCCGTCGAACAAGACGCGGGGGGACGGCATGGTGCCAGTAAACGACGGTCGTGCTTGCTTTCTATGCATCTCGACGGACGGTCGCCCGCCGCTGCTGGACCCAGGGGTGACATTAAGGTCGATGACGGCCGAGGGGCGTGGTGTGGACGACGCGATCACGTTCACGTCCGGCGACCCCCCGAAACGGGTCTGGCCGTCGTGCCTTGGCGGAGGAAAGCCGGGCGACAAGGGTGTGGTCCGCGACGTCAGCGACTGGCAGTGCGGAGGCCGGGCGACCGACGACCCTGTCCTCGCAGGACCGACGGCCCCTCCAGAGAAACCGGGAGGGCGACAAATGCCGGCCATGAGAATGGCGTGCGCTTTGCTGACGATGGCCTTCTTCTCCTCAACCTCGGCCTTGTGCCGCACGGCCTTAATCGCAGCGCGCTCGGCGGCTCTCTTGGCCGCGGCGATGTTGGTCTTGGCAACCGCCCTCCGGCTCCTCCTCTTTGCCGATTCCGCGTCCAACTTGGCGATCTCCTCCGACGTGCACTCCGACCGCGGCTTCCTTGACGCCTTGCCCTTCTTCTTCTTGGCCATTCCGGGCCGCTCGACGGCCAGCCCGCCGGAGTTCGGCTGGGCGTCGGCCATGGACGGAAGAGGGAGTGAGACGGGCGGGACGTGGGAGGGTTTGGGGAGGGGGGGATGGCGCCAAAGGGGCCGCGAGGGGGTTTTGCTCTGTGTTACCGACACGCGGGCCAGGGGCAGACAAGCGCGCACGTCCCGCCCATCCGCGCGCTGTCCGTTTCGCCCCAAAAGCGGCATAAACTTGGACCGCGGATGGGTCGAAAACGGAAACAAAACGGACAAAAGTCTGTTTGCTCCCGCGCGCTGGACCGCCTCGTTTGTCCGTTTTACCCCAAACGGACGGGGCCGGACAGGATAGGATCGCGCGGTGGAGTTGGCCTCATGAACCCGAAGCACGGAACCGAATTGACCCGCAGCAGCACATCGGACAGTGAATTCAATGCATCAGAGGAGTATGTATGTTTTATCTTTCTGTCCTCACGAAATCATTCACTTCTCCTTATCGCTATCGTCCTCCCCTCATCAGGTGCTCTTGTTAATTGACGCAACTAGGGCTGCAAGAAAAGCTCGATGCTCATGAGCCGCTCGAGATCGACTCATTGTTTGGCTCGTCTCGAGATTGACTCAATAAGAAATGAGTCGAGTATGAGCACCTTTTTGTAGCTCGATCGAGAAACAAGTTGATCTTGAGCCAACCATGGCTCGCTCGATTTCAGCTCCATAGCTCGATATAATACAATTATATTACATAACCCTGGTATAAATTAAAAGGAAATAGGATGATTTACTATCATATATATGGTGTATGGTTTCTCTTTATTTTATCCACTAGCAAACTAGGGAGCTTAATTAAGCACGGAGAAAAATTAGACCTTAATTTGGTACATGGTTAGCTGCGTGTTAAATATCCTGCTATTTTTGTCAACGTTTGGGAGTAGATCCAACTTTGTTTTCTTCTCTTGGCAATTCATCAAGGATCTCTTGCTATTAGTTACTTGTCTTCATTGAGAGAATACAGCAAACTACCTTGAAAAAGATATATTATCACCGTTTTGATTAAAATAATATTCTATAATAGTTTCTGATGTTGTGTTGTGGCCAATCTTGTTTGAAAATTGCCTTCGATTGTTAAAAATATCATCTTATTTAGCTTGAAACTAGCTCGAGATCGACTCGAGATCGTTACAAGCTGAGCATGAGCCACTTTCTAGCGCTCGATCTTGAGCTTCACCCAGTTTGAGCTCGCTCGAATTTTAGTATGAGTTGAGTTGAGCTTAATCCAACTCGCTCAAACTCGACTCGTTTGCAGCCCTAGACGCAACACAGCAGGCAGGCTGGACACAGCAGCGAGAGGCTATTTTTACTTCCCGGGCTTTATGGGTCGCTGCAGGTACATCGAGTTCGGAAGCCTCTGTATCTCTACTTTGGGGAAAACCCAGATGCGGATTTTAACCCAGGCTTTGTTGACTTGTACGTAACCAGGAAGAGCAGCGTGATAGTAAACTCGCGCCTAACTTCAATCATTTGGGCTGATCCGCCCATCTTTCTTGCATGAATAATGGCAAGGTAGGAGGAATCACTTGGAAGAAAAGGACGTCTCTTTTCATCACAAAGTAAAAAAGGGTCAGCAAAGCTCACCCAAACTACATTGAGATAAGCTACCGAGGCCCGGAACAATTCCTAGCGAAGATGTACTCAAAAGTGCAGTTCAGCAGTTCCAACAGATACACTACCATTGCGCTAACTACGCCCCATCGCAGCGCAGTTCTGGACTTCAGTTCCACCAAAATGCATATACTGATATTATGCAAGTACTAAAGCCTAGCCGACGCAAGTTCACTTAGCTACATGCGTGAAGGGTAGCGCTTGGCCTGCTCACGGACTTTGTTCCTGTACTCTGGCATGTCCTGCAAATGCAGACACAAACAAACAGGGCGTGTTAAGAGAGCACAGCTGTATTAAAACTAAAGGAGACGTGCAATCAAGTTATGCAAGTTCTAGTTACGGAAGATAACCTTTTTATAGAGTTCATAGCATCGATGCTGTGCGGATGAGTTAGGATTTGGGTCATCAAGCAACTCCTGGATGCCTACCAAAACCTGCTTCACTGTAATTGAAGGTTTCCATGCCTGAAAAGGATGAGGAAAGTCATGAAAGATTAGCGGGGATATTGGCATGGTGCAGACACATGCTGGAAGGAAAGTTTCAGTCAGTCTACACTCACACCACCCAGGATCGATAGGCATACTGCTCCAGAATCGTAGACATTGATATGGAAGAAACCTGCTGGGAACCTGCAGCTAGGAGCGGTGGTTGGGTAATTATCATCAAATTGCATAGTGAGCGGGTAATATCCACCTTCCCAGTCAGTCTGCAGAAAAACAAAGTTAGTGCGGTTAGAAAAGATCAGTTTGCTGAGCTACACGGCATGGACGAGAGGCTCGAGAGCGCACAAATCTGTCGTAAAAGAATATTGTGGTACTACACTATTCACACACAAAGAACTGAAGAAGTATCAGATAAGAATAAGTTACAGACTTACAGTGCTGCATTTTATACACCAAGTGTCTGTTTCGAATTTCATAGGGATCTTAAGGGAAAAGTTCAATTCAGTTCCCACAGGATGGGGATCTATCTTTTCTTTCTCATCGACAAAAGACTCAATGTATGGCTTAATGCACCCATATTCGACAAAGGACCATCAACAATGGTAGTTCAATAGAGGTGAACAGTCCAACATCAATTAGGGTTGTTTGCATGACTAGAATGAAACAGGTCGTAGGCTCGTGGTCATCATTATTGAATTGTGATTTGTGAAGCAGTAAAAGCGGGCATCACAAACAAAGACAGCAGAATATTGAAGTAAATTGTAGCTTACAAGATTTTTGTCGAAATTGTCAGTCTGGCCTTGAGAATAACATTTAAAAATGTTTACAAGAGAGGATTCAATATCTAAAACATGTTTTTGCGAAATGAATATTCGATGTGCCGCTTATTTGGTTTCATCTTCGAGAAGGCGAAAGAAATTAATCAGCAGTGCAACATTCCATATTCAGACTTTGGTATTATCTGGTGATGCTTCTGTCCTGTATGGGGCCCTTGTTACAACCAAACAAGGTCAATCGAAATGCTATGTCCTGATAAGGTGGTCATGCTAAACCTTCAATAAAAGTACTATGCCAACCGAACAGAGACAGGATTGTGCAATCATTTGCTTGATGGGCTTAATGTATGTTATGCACACTTTAACATAAGAAACAGTTAAAATGGTGTCTACATTTACTGACACCTCACATGCATCCTTATATGTTGATCAATTGCCCAACACTATCATAAGCTTAAAATAGTTACTGTCGTATCATCATAATTCGGGTCAGATAAGGGGACACGGACTGGCAAACTGATCCGTAAGACTGTAAAATTAAATCAAGTTTTATCCTGCAAGAAAATAATACAGTAGCAGAGATAAAAAAACAAAAGCATTACAATGAAGCATCAAATTAAGAAAGATGGATCATTGGTTTGGTTCTTTTATGCAAGAGAACAAACTCAGATTCGATTGTATTAGGATATGATATAATATGTTTGCATGACAATGTCCGTTCATGCCCAGCTTTTTCAATAACAATATGCAATGTTCCACTTGCAGTAGTGAAGGGGCCAAGGGTTTTGTGCTACCAACGTCTAATGTTCAGCTAGTCGAAAGAGTTCTGCATATCAAGGATTGCAAAACCCTGCACCTACTGAAAGTCTGAAACCCCTCCTCTGTTAGTAAAGAAGCACAAAGAGGTTCAGAGAAACTCTGAGAAAATCATGGTGAGATTTTTCTCGAGTTTCAATGTGTGACAAAATCAAACCATATAACCACGAGCAGGTTCAGAGAAAATAAATAGGAAGCATAGATTTATTACAATTGCAAACCACGGTACAGCACGAGTAAAAAAGGACACAGTATCTATTTTCTTACCCCTGGCTTGCCGGGGATGATGCACCGCCAGACCATGAGATTGACGGACCCATCCGGCAGGGTCTCCGGCTTGGCCACGAAGCCCTGAAATAGACAAGAAGCCCCGGTGTCCCCATTACCACTTGCGTAGATCCAGAGAAAAAACAAAGAAAATTGGCCAAAAAAGGAAGTAGCTAGGTCGTGGTGCGGGCGCGCACATGGGGGTGGTTCTTGCGCCACGACTTGCGCTCCTCGGCGAGGCGGCCGCGGGCAATGCCTCCGGACGCCATCCAGGCTCCAATACGAGCGAGCGGTCTGCCTAGGTCGTCGCCGCCGCCGCTTCGTCTTCTTCCAAGGACTCCCGCGGGGTCGCTCGGTGCCGCGGCGCCGTGGACTGTTTTCTACTTTATTAGGTTGTCTCTTTGGTTCGGCTCTCGGTCGGTCGGGGCAAATGGCAATGAATATACGAGCGACTTGCACGCACTGCCGCAACCGAAGAGGCGGACAACCATAACATTAGTTTTTTTCTTTGTACGAAAGGCGACCTAATACAAATTGAACAAAATCTGATGTTAGATTTTTAAGCACAATAAATCTGACGTTATGGCAAATTATGATACCGCGACCATGGTAATTTTCTTAAGTAAACATGGTAAATCATGGCAAAAAGCTGTGCATGGCATGGAATTCCCATGCTTGCTGAAGGAATTTGCCATTCCCGCATAACAGAGAAGAAATGTGCCATACTCGCGATACCAAATTGTCATTTGGGACGCCAGATTTTTCATGCTTAAAAAAACTGACGTTAGATTTTTAACATTACACAAAAAAGCCTTGGTCGTGGTATTGTTATTTTAATCAGTTTTCAATAGACATTGCTTTTTTCGCAAATAAAAACCTTGCTCCACGAGGCCTATGTGTCGCTTATGGCAAGCGAGGCGTAACCTCGTTTCACCTCTGGCGACCCACTAATAGCTCCTGAACTGGTTTTGAATGGTTTTATGGATCGGTTCGGATCAATTTTAGAACCTCCCATGCAGGACTTTTTCTTCATTCTTACTATGTGTTTCTTTAGCAGTTTCGTTGGTTTTTTTCTTTTCCGTTTTTCTTTTTTCCTTTTACTTTCTTAAATACATGTCAAATTTTCTTAGTAAACGATGTACATTTTTCGTATGCACACAAAATATTTTCTTAAGACATGTTGAATATTATTTTTATATGCACTAAATATGTTTTTAGATACATGATGAATATTTTTTTCAAATACAAGTTACATTTATTGAACACATGTTTAACATTTTTCAAATACATGTTGACATGCTTATGAATATTATGAAACACTTTAAAATTTACATGAATATTTTTATATATTATAACCATTTTTATAAATGTTACAAATATTTTTTGTAAAATTAATGACATTTTTAAATCGCATAATTTCTTTTGAATGATATGATGTTTCAAAAAATATGTAATATTTTTTTAAATGTTGCAAATATTTGTTTTGAAAGGCCTGAACATTATTTAAATACCATGAACATTTTTCTGAATGATAAAGTACATACATTTGTTACGAATTATCAAAAACATTATGTACATTTTATTAACATTTTAAAATATGTTATGAATTTGTTTTAAAATAAATCCATTGAAATATAAACAAAGGTAAATTAAAATAAAAATAATATGAAAACAAAGAAATAAAATGAGACAACTTAACTAACATTCGTAGAAACTAATGGGCTGGCCCACTACAACGTCGCTAGAGGCGAGCGCTCACTGTGCCTCTCCTTCTCTTTACATACAAGTGCAACCCAATTAGCTCAAAGGGGCGAATACTATTCACACTAAGGCTTCGTTCAGTTGATCCCGCCCTCGGACGGGATTGGGGGTCAAAACCCTGTGGATCGGCCGGGATTGTCGCGGTCGCGAACTTATCCATGTTTGATTCATACAATGCATTCGGTTATACCTGGCGGGGCTAGAAACCATGTCAAATCCCCTTGCAGCCCTGCGGTTTTTGACCAGGAAATCAACCTCTCCTCCATATGCGTGGAATTAATCCCTCCGTTGTAGCAGGGAATGGGTGACGGTGCGGGGTCAACCCAACACCCTCGTGGACTGGATCCTCTAGGGGGTCAAATCTCTAGTAACCGAACATAGCCTTAGTGGGCAAAGCATCTGAAGGGCGGAGTATGCCAGCTAATATCTAGGATTTACTTTTTTTTCTTTTTTTTTTCTTTTTTGGTTTCTCTTTGTTGTTTTTTCTTCAAGTTTTATGCTACCTTACGTGTTTTTATTTGTATTTAAGTTTATTTTAAAATTCCATGTCATGTTTTTCATCCTTTTTCCTCTTTTTTCCTTTTTGGGTGAAACCCACAATGTTTTTTCTATACGAAAATATATTTAGATGTGCATTAACAACTCTTTTCAAATGTACGAATTATTTTTTCAAGAGGCAAGAATGCATTTTCCGCGAGCAAGAGCATTTTGTAACACATGAGCGAAATTTCGTTTCAAATTTATTAACATTTATATTATGGTAAATGAACAATTGCCCATTTTTATAGCGTATGAAAAAAATCTATTTTATAAGCTGATTTGAACTTTTTTTGTAAAAATACATTTCAAAAAGTACATAATTACAATGTTATAGCATAAATGTGATGTGCCGGTGGCTCGCCCATGTAGAAGCTATTGAAGCGCAAAATGGCCTCTACCAATAGCTCGTGTGCATGTTTATGGGCAAAGTTGTTTACTCGTTGCTTGTCATGTTACTCGTGGGAGAGTTTTTGTTCTTAGTCGATGTGAGAATTAGGTCTTGCCGTTGATAATTGGTATATCTTAATTCTCCATTATGAATCTCGACCCCCTTAAATAAATTACCCGAGTCATTGAAAAAACTATCCCGGAACTAGTATGGGTTGTTGTGCAAATATTATTCTCAATCAGCCACCAATCTTACCATTTCCCATGATCTCATCTATATCTTCAAAAGTGTACCTCTCAAACTTGCCATTCCATCTCATCCATTAAACAAGGTTTATCCTTTAAGTCATTCCAACAGTAGTAAATTTTGAATAATTAAATAGAAGTACTAGATAGTATCAAAACCTACTTGTTTCTTATAACAAAAATAGGGAGTATGGGAAGTTTTTTAAATGATAATGGGAAAATTTAGAATGTATAGTTAAAGATCAAAAACATTGAGCCTTAAGTATTGTGGTAGCTTGGTGTTTTTATGAAAATTTTGTGTATCTAACTAGCTTTTGCATAATTTACGAACCAATGTACTTTATTCATGTGATGTTATTTGAGTAACAGACTATAGAATAAGTTTGTCAGAAGACTATTGTACAACAATTTGAGATTGAAAGGCTTTTCTAATGTAACACTACGACGTAGGCTGCTAGTTTTGGTAACCAATCAATTAGATTCAACTTGATTAGCTCCGAGGACAGAAGGTCATCCATTTTAGTCAACATTGAGTCATAAAATGGTTTTTCAATCCAACTTTAAGTCACCATGTCACCAACAAAGTGATATGCACTATTTTGAATAAGCTTAGGATAGAGAAAGTGAATACTGTTGGGATCTACGGTAGGGTGCGTCGACTGCAAATTAAAAATTCGTACACGCAAAACAACCAAAAACATGCTACGGGAGATGGATCACAGATAGTTACCACTAGACGCGCAGTGCTGTGCAGCGGAAGTAGAGTCGAGGCAGCGCGTCCGTGTGGATCGTCTCCTCCTCGTCCGATCTCCCTCGAACAGCCGGTCGTCCGATCCCACGTACAAGTTCGCTGGAGCGGCGCAAGTGCACCGCCTCTAACGGTATCCGCGCGTGCAGGAGGAACACCGTGCGGCGGACTGCTAGATCCGATCACACAGTCGGCGACGAGTGGAGGTGGCTATTTGCAACACATGCAAACCCTAGTGACAGCACCGAAGCAATCGACCGCAAGAGTGTGCCGCACCTCCACTTTATGTAGGCGTCCGTCACGGGCTCAACACTTGGGCCTCGCATGGACCCTAAAGCCCACAAGTCTACTCGGCCACAATATGAATACAGCTCGGATCACATCCGACCAGTGTCCTCGGATCCGACCTTGTAGGTTCCTTCCCTTAAGTGCGCGACCCCTTAGGTTCAAGTCGCCTTGGTCGCAGTTCGGATCACCTCCGAACTGCACGGTTGGTAGCGGCCTCTAGCAAGGCATGCCGAACACCAAGCAGACCATGAAAATGGTTAGGCGAACCTGTACATCATACTTTTGTTCCCTTTGCCACACGATATATGTTGTCGGGCTCAAGGCGAGACTGTCATCCTTGTGCTAGCCCGACCTCTTTCTCGTTCCAGTGATACCGACCACTATCCGGATTATCTCATAATCCTTGTCGCATGGCCATGCTTATCCTGGTCGGATCACACGAAGGGCCCATAGTATATCTCTCCTGTTTGGAGAGGCAAATCCCATCTTGCTCAACCATGTCTCGCAGCATATGACTGGACAAACCCGAAACCTATCTTTGTAACTATCCAGTCACAGAGTAGCGTTTGGTCGGCCCAAAGCAAGTCTGTCACCATCCCGAGTACACGCGTCAGCTCAGGTCTTAGGACATAGAACATATGTTGTACTAGAGACTCACATATGACATATCGTTGTGTCTCATTGTTGGGTCTGTCCGACTCGGACCTTATCTCGACTCGGATTCGACTACGTCGAATCCAACCAGATCCTTCCGAGTCCATATTATCCGGTTAGCATCCAATGCTCCGTGGCTAGTGAGACCAAGCCATCGATCGTGTCATATGCTAGTCTTAGTCGGCCGCGCGTCCACACAACCCTTTCGACTAGGGACCTTTTAGGACAGTCATCATACAATGCATAGTCCCACAAACAAGTCACGTACTTGCTGATACACATCATTGATAATGTCCAAGGACTATCTTTATTCATAAACACATAGGAAATATCATCATACATGATTGCCTCTAGGGCATATCTCCAACAGTCTCCCACTTGCACTAGAGTCAATCAAATAGACATCGAATGCCCATAGCTCTAACGTGCCCCTCATGCTTGGGTTGTGAAAGCGGCTTAGTCAACGGATCTGCAACATTTGCATCCATGTGAATTTTGCATAACTCTACATCACCATTCTTTACGATCTTTCGTATCAGGTGATATTTCCGATCTATGTGTCTGACCTTATGGTGATTCCTCGGCTCCTTGGCTTGTGCGATGGCACCAGAATTATCACAATAAAGGTCCAACAGTTTTACCGAG